AATTGAGGATAAGGACCGGTGCGTGGGTGGCGTGTTCTTTAAGACCACGACCTGGAATAGGCGGATTCAAGTAGTTAAGGAGCGAAATAGTACCGATTTGTTCAAGCGCAAGTTACTAAGTTGCCGATGGGTTTTACTATAACATTTTTGTTATTACTTTTTCCCTCCCAGCCGAGGGGAGTGCCTTAATTTCGAATCATCATCCATTATGTACCAAGCCTAAGTGTATTATGCAAGGTCGGCAGCCAGAAAAATTGTAATAAAAGCACATGAGTAAAGAATTCATTAAGTGCAGGTACTGTACAAGTAAGGAATATAGACAGGATTACAGGTCCATAGTTGCTTAACTATGTCGTGCGAGAACATTTTTCTCTCCAGAATCTATCTTACATATCTATAAGTCTACCATTCGTCAATGCTTAGAACATTGTTGTCACATTTGGCCCGGTGCTCCTGCTATTTACCTTGAGCTCCCTGATAAACTCCAAAGAAGAATCAGCAATATTATCGGTCCTGATCTGGCAGCTCGGCCTCAGTCACTTTCCCAGCGCCGTAAAGTTGCTTCCCTGTGTCTTTTCTATAAATACTTTCATGGTAATTGTTCGGCTGAATTCTTCGTTATGGTACCTGGGTCATCAATTTGCAGTTGAGTTGGCTAGATGTAACCGTAAGTCCTATGCCAACAGTTTCTCGTATTTCTCGCTTGTAGAACTCTATTCTGGCTATATGTTCCAGCTCATTAGTAATGTTTTTTGTTTCTGATTCTTCCACACCCAGTAACCCCTTATGTCTTAGTGGCTTCTGCCTTGCATGGGGGTGAAATCGATTAAAGAACACACACACACACACGCATATATATATATATATATGAACAAAACGGCATTTTTTTCTTAAAGGTAATCTTTTCGGTCAACCCCTCACTAGAACTATCGTTGATGACTTAGTAAAATATTTACGAGATTCGCGAAGTAAATTCTTTGAATGAGGTGCTGGTTGAAAAGGTTATCTTTAAGTGGGAAAATGCGGCTTTGTTTATTCAAAACTATTTACAACTTATGTGGTATCAAATTCTTGTTTATATATATATATATATATATATATAATGCAAGGCCTTAACAGAGTTACTACCGTGGGTTTTCAAACATCCCATTTAAAATATAGTTATTTCACTTAGTATTTAATTTTCTTGTTATATATTGTCTTGAATAGTCATTCTCTATTTTGATGAAAAAGAATTAAGGCACCGCCCTCCACAAAAATACGATTTTTTTTTATTTTGTAAAAAATGAATTAAAAAGCCATTATTGAAAATGTTTCTTCTTGCTTTTCGTACGATAAACCAGAAGAAACATTGGCAGTCACCGAGCAGAAACCTTTGTCATGCCAAGTTCATTATGCAGAATATTCTCAACTCTCTCCCGGGATTTGCTAATAGCATTGGTTATTTGATTTAGTCAATTGCCTGTCGTCCATCACCATGTGGTGAACACGATCAATGGTTTCCTTGGTGGTGGCAGTTTCAGGATTTCCAGATCTTGGATCATCTTCAAGACTCTTTTTTTTCTCCTCCAAAATTCAGAATTCAAAATTGGCGCTGTTAATAAAGCTGATATAGCAACCATTTCAGCATGAATGTCCTTGGGGCTAAACCCTTTTTCTGCAGGTATTTGATAAAACCACGATGCCAAATTTTGTCCATTTTCAAGTGAAGTCGGTACTAGTTACGTTTGAAGTTTTCTTTGGGCAGTCAGATGTCGGTTTACCTGGAAATAAAACAATGTCGTTATTAATAAGAAGAAATGAAGTTAATGCATGTATCACACCTCCTTAACAAATAAATCTACCTGTAATGACTAAAACCAGAAGCTCGGATCTCAGTACTGCACATAACTGAGACCAAAATATGCACTGGACCCCGGACAGAGCGAGTAACCAACAAGAAAGTCTTAAAAAATGGCGACAGAAAGAACACTCATAGTCAGAATCATGAAAAGACAGCTGAAATTCCTTGGACATATAATGAGGAAGGAGGGCTTGTAAAATATAACCCTCACGGGGTATTGGGATATAGAGGAAGGCAAGAGCCACTTACCTGAAGAGCTTGTATGATAGTCGAACGGAGAACGGGGGTCTAACAAAGGGAGAAAAATTGCTAAGAGCCACACTAGATAGAAAGTTGTGGAGAGCCATGATCGCATATACCCTAAAGGGACACGGCACATAGTGAAGAAGAGAGAATGGCTGTTTTTTTAAATAAATTCAACTGCTTTATAACACCAAACATGACATCAGATAGAGGTTAATTGCAACAATAGAATCGTTAAACTAACTAGAATCGAGGCAAATTCGAAACCACGATTTCTAAATAATGGTGTAAAACTAGATAAGAGGTTAACATCAAAAATTATTTCTTATAAAGTCCGCCCCTCCATTCTTTCGCTGTTTGCAGTGCAGCCCATTAAACCCGAATGTTTGTAAGTCGATTAATTCACAAATCGACGTCTGTTCGTATTTAGGAATAACGTTAAATCTCGTCAAAGCGGACGTTATTAAAATCCCGGAAAGATGTCGTCTGTGACAAATAAAGGCGCGATAAAATCTTGGAAACATTTGACAAGGACACACACGCATACACATTTCCTAACGAAAATGATAAGGAAAATAAATGATGTCCATAAATGAATATAAATTCAGTCGTTATTAGATTTTAACGGCCCGGCGAGTCTTGCTTATTCGGCCATTTTGTAAGATGAATGACTATTAAAGCGAACAAATGCAATCATATCAACAGTAAATACGGCAAGATTTGAATTCTATTCAAAACTTACTGGAAATAATGACAACGTTTAAGAAAAGATACAACACAGAAAGGATCGCAGCTCATCTGGAAAAGACGTTTCATTAATTGATGCTTAGTGATGATTAGTGCATAGTTTGGCACTAAACGAAGAGAATACAAGTAAACATGTAATTGAAATAAACTTTGAGTTCATCTGCTCTCCATCAACGACTATTGTCGTCAGCCTGAAATATCCAACGATCTAAATTGCCAAAGAGACTAAATTGCATTGTCTCGTGTAAGGTTACAAGATTGGAGAACTCTTTTCGATAGGATCACGTCGGATGTCACCAATTTTGTATATGGAGACCAAATGTTTGTAGAAGAATAGAAATGTTAATAAGCACAAGGGGAAACGCTAGTCAAAAGCGGTATAGTTACAAACATCAAAAAGAAACATGAAAATGTCGTCAATTTATTTGACGATCCAAATGTTGAATAGTTTTTTTCTTTTTTTTTTTCTGTGTGTATAAAGTTTCTTTTGTCTATGTAAATTTTTAATGCACAATATTATGATTGTGTTGATTTTGTATACGAAGCTTGTCTGAAAATTAACGGGATTGGTGTCACAAACAATTTATTTCAATTCCAAACAATAAACTACACGGTTTTCCCCCTTCAAAGTAACTCCTCTCGAGTCTAAAGCACATTTCCATCCTTCTCTGCCACATTTCTAGGCACTGCCGGGGGGATTCTTCTTGGATGCCCCCACCCAAATCTCCGTCGTTACAGCGCTCTTGATGGTCACCACGCCTTCAAAACGGGTTCCCTTGATAATCCCCTCAAGCTTGATCAAGTCCCAGGCAGTAAGATCAGGTGAATAAGGCGGTTGTTACAGAACGAAAATGTTCTTTTCAGCCAAGAACTTCCGGATGCTCAGGTGGCATTGTCGTAATGAAACAGCCACGATTTGCCTTGTCACAACTATCACATGTGAAAAAAAATGCAATGGTTGCAGAAAACTAAAATTACAGTTATATACTCCCAATATATAATGTTCGATAATAGCACAGTCCGCTTATACTTGTTTCGCCCAGAGCTCACACAACACAACACACCAAGTTCCGTTACCTTTTAGGCAGACTTCGTATGTATACTTATGAACAGTAGTAGCAGTCAGAACCGTAATACAACAATAAATAAGTTCGACTGGTGTATAATTATGACAAACAATGCTGTCCGCAAAATGAAAAGGAATAACAAAATAAGATTTGCAGAAATACGACTCTGTCTAAAATCAGTCATTGGTAAAGTTGCGAAATGTACGAAATTTTTAAAGTTATATCAGATCAGTTATCGAAATTTATAGAAAAAAATATGCTCCAAACTGGACCTAAAAAAAACTATTAAAATTATTTTTAACTTACCATTGGTTAAACATTTTTTGTTAATTTTTTTTTGACAATTAAATAGGAGAAAATCCCAAAAGATTTTGAAGTGATTTGATTCAACAATTTTTCTAAACAAGATCGTCTGCAAATGTCAGTAAATGTAAAATGATTTGGGGGGGAGAGAAGGAGAAGGGAGAACGCCAATTCTCTCAGCGTGATTATTATGAATGGCGAAAACGAAAGATTCTTACTCCGATGTGAAATTTGGAAGAAATTCACATTTATTAAATGACATAAAAATAGTATTAGCAGAGAATACAAAATTTCCAAAACAAGCATGCGCAAAACGTTACTTTGTGCGCCGCACAATTAGGCAAGATAACAACTTCTAATAACAACACAGTTTCATAAAAACAATTATAATTATTACCAACATAATGTTTTCATTCTCCCGTTGAAAAAGTTAAGATGGCTGACGAATCCCAGGCATCGCTGGATTTCTGGTTTGTTTAAAAAATTGTTCGATTTTACGGAATGAGATGACATAAATCTCGTATTTTCAAAAAATGTTCAAAGTCAGGTTTAATATTTCTATTTTATGACAAAACTAATTGCCACAAATATGCAGGGTGGGTAGCGAGATTCGGTGTCCCAGAAAACATAACAACGGCCAGAGGTCGACAGTTTGAGTCCAAACTATTCAACACACTCTCAAGACTTCTACCATCCACAAGCAAATGGCATGCTAGAGAGACTGCGTCGTAGTCTGAAAGCTTCTTTACGTGCAGAACTAAACAATGCCAATTGGTTAAAGCAACTTTCGTTCATACTTTTAGGTCTTCGTTCCACAGTAAAGAAATAAATGAACTGCTAAGCAGCAGGAGCTTTATATGGAGGTACATTGCGACTACCAGCGCAATATTTCTTTGTCCCACCGAAAAATGGATAGGATTTAGTATCATTTGTAGATAGACTAACCACCAAAATTACTAAAATGGCATATTCACGATCATGGCAAGATAAAAATAATACAGTCTGCTTGTTAAAACATTTAAAGATCTGTTCGCATGTTTTATCCACGATACAGCTGTAGGTGACACTGTATTTAACCACCATATCGTGGTCACTTCAAAGTTATTAATCCTTTGTGCCCTAACCACCGCTTTACCGGTGGTAGAGAAAAATGACGTAATAACCAGCCACCAGTTGAAGAGTGGTAAAGAAAAATGACTTAATGCCCAGCTACCGGTTAAACTGTGGGTAAAAACTTGTAACTATTTTTATGTCTACGGTGAAACATTACATACCAATTATTTGCGAATTTTGACTCAGGAGCTCAGGCAGAAGGGTTAAAATTGTCCAGGAACGCACGGCTCAAATAGTTAAGAAACATGACAAGTTCTTCACTGTCCTTCTCAAGAATCAAGAACAGAATATTTCATTGGACAGGAAAAAAGCAGCAATATTGGAAAAGTCATATTTGAAGGTAATACCCTCAATCATCGACATAACACCAGATAAACAATCTGTACAAAAAATACACGTTAGACATGTTAGGTTAAGCATCTACAAAATTGTATTTCTTTTTAACCTGTACATTGTTTCTCTTTTCTTATTTTCAGATACTCTGCATCTTAGTCGGGGGTTATTATAAGGATACCCTGCCCTACAGGAACTATTTTGGGACCTCATAAATTTCCATTCCAAACGGTCGCATAACAAACACTTGTACTCTCTGAGAGGCAGAGAGAGTTTGGCAGTGAGAAAAACCTGACAGCATATTAAGAAATCCCGAGTCAATATAAAAAGGTGAACTTCATTCACTTATCCGGGCACCATACCCCCCACCCTGCAGAAATGCGGTAGAAGTATTTGGCGTCCTCTCTTCTTGTTACTTAGAATATTCTTATTTTCTGCTTGTGAGCTCCTCCAGGTACAGAGAAATTAAATATCTAATAACCCAACAAACTTTACATATAAAGGATGTTTTAATAACTTGAACTAATTTTAAATGAGAATTAAGTTTAAGCGTCTAATGATATTTTTCTTTTTCTTTCAGATTTAACAACTTAAGTCTTTGGCAATTTGAACCCTGGGAAGATGAACAATCAAACAACGTGTTAAAGTTATCGAAGCCAATTACGAAAATGGACGTTCAAACATAAATGCATTTCGCACACTTCGCGATTTTTTGGTCAACATAATCGACCAAACGAGAATGCAATTGGAAAAAATGTAACGTTGTTGTGGAGAGGTTCAATTCCTGTGCGCGATGACGAATAGAGGGGTCTGGATTTTCGGCCACATTTTCATGCACTGCAGCAATGTTTTCAGCTGAACGGCGTAAACGAGCACGCAATGGTGTTTTCACATCTGCCACCGACCCAGTTTGTTTGAATTTACGAACAATTTTTCCAATTGCACTCTTGAAACTTTTACACGTTGTTTGATTGTTAATCTTTCCATGGTTAAAATTGCCAAAGACTTAAGTTATTAAAAATTTGAAAGAAAAAGAAAAATCATTCGACGCTTAAATTTAATTCACATTTAAAATCGGTTCAAGTTATTGGAACACCCTTTACAAAGTTTTACACATCATCAAATTTTATGCAAGTCATTTATTACTAACCGCCGGGCTTCATTATAACAGGGTTTTTTTTTTTTTTTTTTTTTTGTTTTTTAATTCATAGAATACGTTTTAGTAACTTTTTCTTTTAATAAACATTTTTTAAAAACTTCCCTCAAGGGAATGTATAATAAACAAAACTAGTTTTTTGTGATTACTTTTTTTTATTTATATTCTAATTATTTTTATCACATTTTACGTTTCTTTTGTATTATATAATTTATTTTTATAAATATATCATCCTTTTTAGAGGTCTCTGACTGCTAAAAATATTGAAATTTAACAATTCATTTTTGTATAAAAAATACAGATTTGCAACAAGCCAAGTGAGGGTCACACTTGCTCTACGAGGAAACTGTGTAACAAAATTTTAACTTTTCGTCTTTGGTCAACCATAGTTAATTCCTAATTGCTTCTGTCTAGAAAGCAAAGGAAATGGCTATTATTTGTTTCAACCTTTGCTTTTGCCACCTGAACATCGATGTTTTGAAACTAACCTACTTTCCATTATATTCAAGATAGATGCAGTTGCTGAAGGAGAATTTTCTAGAACTTTCTAGAAGTTTCAAGAATTTTCTAAATGTTTCAGAAATTTCAAGAACGTACTGGCTGCAAAGGATCGTATAAAGAAAACATGATGGTAGACTATATTTGGTGGCTGATTCGCGAATGTAATTTTCAGTATATGCATAAATCACAAAAAACTACTCACTTTTAATTTTTTTTTGTGGTCTCTCTTGTGTAATTCGAGAATAAATAAAAGCTACTTTTGGATCCTATGTCGTTTTGTTCCTACTTTGCGTAAACGTGAATGTTCACATTCACTACTTTTAACAATGAAAATAGGTTAATTTCAGAATTATCATTATATTGCTCAGAAAAGCAAAGTTTGAATGAAATATTAACCCTTTTTCATACTTTCTAGACATAGACAAATAGGAAATAATATTTGCTACTCAAAGACTAAAATTGTGTTACACGGTAACTCACCACATTCATTTCTGTATTATTCTTGCTTTATAACAAAATGACTGATTCGAAAGTTTTAAAAAAAGAATCCCACTTCAATACATTTTTGACTGGTAATTAAATTGGTCAAAATACGGTTAATCATGAAAAAACATTAAATCCTTATATCTTTTGTTGTTTGTTATTCATCTGTTGTCTTTGGAAACAGAAGCATAAAATACAGCCTGTCCCTAAAATTCTGAAATGGGTTTTAAATATTTGATTTTTGTTCTGAATCAAGCTAGCAAATACAGTTTTAATAAGTGGTGGTTTTGTATTGTTTTTATTACAAAAAAGTTAAAATTTATTTCAGTTTGTAAATTCCATTAATCAAAAAAGATAAAATTTGAAAGCAGTTTCATAATTTTGTGGACATTGAGCTTAATTACACAATGTCCACAAAATTATTAAATGTCCTGAGCCGACCAAGCATAGAAATGAATATAATATGGAAACAAGTAATAAGGAATGCCAGAGAAAAGCAATAATAACAACGAAAATTGCAATATAAGCTCTTGTAAAAAAAAAAAAAAAAAATGCAATGATAACAGCAGAAATTGCAATATGAGCACTGGTAAAAAAGTGGCGCTGAAAATATTAGGTTTATAATACCCAGAAATTCATACACAGATGTCCTCAAGGAGACATGGCACAGTGGATAGTTAGATCCAGTGAGAGGACCCAAAGAGTGTGAGTTCAATACCTGGTGAAGACGGTGGAGAACTTGGAGAGAGGAATTAACAAGAGATAACTTATAAGTGACATCCATTAGACATGGCACGTGGAACTAGAACAATATACTCCAGTGAGCGAAATAAAAGGTTCAGTTCGACATTCCAACCACCTGAAAAAGGCCGGAGCGTACAACGGCCGAAATGTTGTGATAAATATGGCAACAAAGATGAGCGTAGCAGTAGTCCGAATAATGTAAATAGTGTACATAATACCTCATCTCAGAAATATAGACAAATATTAAAATTATGAAATTAAAGAAAAGGCTTTAAAATATTATTAAATTTGAATTTTTAAAGAAACAGCTCAAATTCACTGTACATCTTTTACGGCCCTCCTCTCTCTGTCTCTCTCTCTCTCTCTGTCTTCCTCTCGCTCTCTCTCTTTCTTTCTGTGTCTCCCCCTTACTGTGTCTTCTCACTCATTGTTTCTGTTACCACCTCTTCACCGTTACTTTATTCAGTTTCCTCTATCTTCTCTCCTCTATATTCACCTCATATTCATCTCTTGTCTTATATACACATATATATATATATATATATGTGTGTGTGTGTGTGTGTGTATATTTATATATATATACACTAAAACAAATCCACATTATAACCAAAAACGGTTTTTTTAAATATACATTTTTCTCTTGTTGCAACAATTATAACCTTTTCCCTATATATATATATATATATATATATATAGAGAGAGAGAGAGAGAGAGAGAGAGATTTTCTAAGCCCGGCTTAGATGTGGCACAGTGCCGAAAGTATGGGGTATCCAGTGAGGATCGAACTCACTACTCAGTCGTAACTGATCTAGCAAGACAAGCTTCCTAACCATTACACCACGTCGAGATGCCCTCCCTCCCTCCCTCCCTTCCTTCCTTCCTTCCTTCCTTTCTTTCTTTCTTTCTTTCTTTCTTTCGAGAGAGAGAGAGAGAGATGGTGGGGAGGGTAATGGAAGAGAGTAGAGTTCACCTCTGCCTCTTCTGTTCCCTCTCTTTCTCCCTCTGTCTATCTTCACCCATACTCTATCTTCTCTCTCTCTCTCTCTCTCTCTCTCTCTCTCTCTCTCTCTCTCTCTCTCTCTTCACGCTTATTTCTTTCTCTTCTCTCTCTCTCCACTCGTTCTAAATATCACTTTTCACTTCTGTCGCCTTCCCAACAAAATTTTTAAACTCTTTTAAATTTTCCCTCGAATTCTGATGAACTTTTTACTCGTGGATCTGTAAAATAAAATAACCTTTAAAAACTCTAAAAAAAAAAAAAAAAAAAAATAGCATTCACCCACATTAGTACGGATTTCAAATTTGTAGTCGAGAATAAAACTGGTTTCTGAATATCTTGTTTCTCATCATTAGTTTCAACAGGCTTCTTTGACGATTAAAGGGAAATAACTCTATAAAACACTCTACGCGCTTCTTTCCCTTGGCATTAATTTTTTTTTTTTTTCGAAATTGATAAATTTATTTTTTTTTATTTTCCCGCAAGCATATTCGTTTCGATTATCTACATAGAAATTTTCAACTTGTTTATCGACGAGGTAA